GCCCAATCGGTGGCTCTTCACGGAGGAGAGGCTGAGGGACACGCCCTCCAAGAGGGACGACATCGGACACCAGCAGGAGATTCATATGCGACAGAAGGGAACCGCTTTCATCAAAGAAATGGCCGAAACGCTCAAACTGTAAGTACCATCACATCCATTGGATCACACCATCGATGGTCACCATTTTTAGTGTCTATATGTCTTATACCGTGTCTTGAAACAGATTACCGATTGTCTCAAACACTGGAATCGTTTACTTTCATCGCTTCTTCACATTGCGTTCGTTCAAAGTGTTTGATGTGAATGTAAGTCACCATTTGATTGTCTTTATGGGATCTGTTTGGGTGATGTCTTAACCCCCATATCTATATGTGTGTGTACTCTATGCGCCCAATGATCTGATTTATGTTTTAATTACCATTTAATGGCAATTATTATCTGATTGTCTGGAGATTATGTACACAACAGACATGTGTTGGGAAATAAACGCATTGTTATTGACATTGAAATCGCATAGCGTTTTAGTGCCAATACATGACTCATCACTTGTTTTTATCATGTTTTTTATCATTAATTAATTTATTTTTACATTTAATTAAATGTTTTTATTATATAAACGCAACACTTGTTACAAATTGATCACACATTTCATTATTATTACAACTATTAAGCACTCAATGGACTAATTATATGCTATTTGTTTCCCCCATTATATTGAATGGCAAAACCAAACCACACGTGGTGTTTGTGTTGATAACAATCACAGCAAATCTCGATATGCAGTCTGTTTTTGGCCGCGAAGTTCGAGGAGCAGCCGATCCGCAAAGAGGACCTGATCCGGACGGCCCTCTTCTGTCGGCCGCCGCCCAACCCATCGAATCGGCCCAAAACAGAGGTCCGTAGTAGTGGTCGAGCGCTATAACGCAGACTGTGTGGCCTCTTTGGGGGCCGCGCTGTCTGTCTGTTGATTGTGTGCCACTATTTATCACTGTTTTCATGTCATTAGCACTTGAATCGTGAATACCGTAAACAATGCGATCGATTGATAGCCAATGAGAACGAAATGTTGCTGACGTTCGGCTTCGATCTGATGGTCATTCACTCGCAGTCTGTGATCGTAAACGTATCGAAATCTGTGATAAACGAATCGGTGACGACTTGCGCCTATAGGTTGGCCGGCGATCTGCTCCGACTGACCACCATTTGCCTTCAGTACAGCCACACATTCATCGCCTGTGTCTCGATATACATGTCCAGTCATTTCCTCAAAACACCGGTAATTCAACCGTTGAGTACTGCCATCCCTTTCCCACCCCTTTCTCTCTGCCCTCTCCCGGGCTCTCTCTTTCTGTCTTTCTCTGGACTCTCTTTCGGTTATGAATTATAAGCCGTTTTTGACCGAAAAGTTTGTCTCTTTTCACGTCATAAACACATGAAAACACAAGATAACGACAAACGGTTCCCACAATTGGTGTCATTTAATCGACTCAAACGTACGCTTAGAAGAGGTGCGAGAAGTGGCCGCGAAATTCAAGCCATGCGTTAATGCACTGAAATACACGATCCAATCGGTGACCGCCGCCGAGAAGAAGCGTAAGCGCGCCTACGAAGAGACCTACAGCCCGGAGAGCGCCTACTCAAGCGGTTCCAACACCTCTCCCGACGACTATAGCAATCCCACGACGACTGCGGCCACCGCTGCGACCACAACGACCATCAAAGGTGTCTCAATGGCGCCCAAAGTGGCCAACAGAGCGGTGGTCTCGTCGGCGGTGAGTGGAGGTCTGAAGTCGCGGCCAAATCTATGCGTTTCGATAAATACTGATCGCAAGCGTAAAGTAGTTATTATGAATTGATATTTGAATTAGAGATTAATG